TTTGCGCCGGCGTACTAAGCTCTCGGAAACTACGAAGTGTTTCTAAGGGACTAAAAAGACTTAGTTTGTTTACCAGGCTCATGTTATCGGGGTAAAAACTTCGTGATAGGGGGATGATTAGGAAAGAACGCATAAACACTCCAAACGAGAAACAGATTGAGTTAAGTTAAACAAAAAATCAGCTCGGTATCTGAACGGTATTTTAACCACAGTATAGAAACTAATGACGCTGCATGGTATAACCTGCCAAATATTTTATGAATTAAAAATGATTAGTTAGCAAGTTGAATATATGACGCACTGTCTCGGGAGGATTCGGACAATCTGCAGTTTCCACTAAATAGGAAGCGTTATTTTTAAACAAATTATGATCAGAATGATAACGCATGTTTTTAGGAAGTAGAGAGCACATAGCTACCATAACTCGGCTGGTAAAGCGGTCACTGAGAGTTCTGCTGTAACTATTTCAGGGAAAAGTTTCCCAGCTATATGCGTTTTATCACTTACCATGGCAATGCTTCATAAAATTATTTTAAGTAAAGTTAGAAAGATGGAATTTTTATCAGTGGCAACTCCGAGCAATAAGGACGGCCGGGTATTAGGAGGATAGCTTTGACTAGCACAGGATAGAGGTCGGCAGAATTCCGTTTTCAGAATCTGCTCCCATTCAAATTATTTCGGAAATTGCAGCTGTTTTTTGAATCTACAGATGCATTTTAATTCACCATCTTCTGACAGGACTGATGTACTACCATATCAGTTAAAAGGGGACTATTTTCTAAACGCTTTCTATAAAATATTTTTGAATTTATTAAGGCAGTGAAAATAAACATGCAAAATGCATACCACTCAGTAGTCAATTTTTATATAGTTTCATGTTTATGGGCTATCGAAAAGTAGCTCATTCAACAGCTAGCATCATTCTGTGTGGTTGAATTTTTTAACGATGATGCTGCATTATAAACAGTAATCAAACCCTCCCTAAGAAAGCCTTCCAACAGAAAAAAAATTTCAAGTAATATTTCAGTTAATTGAATAGTCACTACAAATCCGCAGTTTTGTTCCAACATTGGACCTACTCAAGAAAGTAAATGTACGGACATGGTAGGTCATTGCTATCTATATTAAAGATCAACTAGGAAAGTTAATGACCTAGCTCAATGTGTAATGTTTGCTGTCGGGACAAACAATTTTCTCGATAAGCAACCGATCCTGTAGTTGCGATTCAGACCACTAAATGACTTTGATATACTGGCGCTAAGATGTGTGAATTATTTAGGGTATTTCGGTAGGATTGAACAAAAGAGTAAATCCACAAGGCAATTTATCTGTTCAGTCATCGCGCTCATGCTTCGCTCGAGTCACATTTATAGAACCTAAGGGACAGATAAGTCACTCAAAATACGGATAGAAACATATCTATGTAGTGGGTCTAAGCAGCTTTTTTAATAGGCGTATTTTATACGCCTAGGTGACACTGCAGGGTTTCGCTGAAAGTCAAAATATCACATTATCTTGCGGTTAAAAAAAGAAGTAAATATTTACTAGCACCGAAACTGAAGGAATACTGTCAACGAGAGACAGCTCACGGTCAAAAGACCTGCCAACTGGGCGTAGCCGCTTTTTGGATTTCCAAAAAGCTCAATGATAAAAAGGTATCTTTAGCGGTTATACAGGTTCTAAAAATGCAAAAAAGCAAATATGTTATCATTATTGTGGCAAAGATGGGAAAAGCGTAGCAAAGCTGGATTATTTTCCTAGAAACCACACGTTGCGGCTTTGGAGAATGAAACACTATTAAACAAGCATTTAGCAGCACGCCTAATATTTTCGATTACCCTCATTTAACCAGGGTTGTCGATAAATATATCAAAACGGGAAGCTTTATATACTTTGGAAGGAAACACAAACTTCTTCGCGGATTAATTAAAAATCCACTGGAGATCAAACTCTTGAAGTCGATACACATTTTGGTTTTAAAAGACTGCAATATTCCTGTGAGTCAGGGAAAGACATACACCAGACAAATGGTAGAAACTTGGATAATTTTTCAGCAGACCCTTAAATGCG